GTATTTTTCAAACACTATCAAAACGTAACTTTATTTGTTGTGATAAATCTATAGGGGAATATTATCTGGAAGGAATTAATACAATTAAGTAGGTTAATCAGTATAAGGAAGTGAACGAAATTTGATGAACTTATAAATATACTTTTACTTGATAACTGGAAGGAGGGTTAGTAGCTTAAGCTCATCCTAAAAATCAGATAAATTATACTGAAACCAATATGCCTGTGAAGTAAACATTAATCAAGAAATGAAAGCAGATGTTTTTTGAAGTGCTCATTTTGATATGCAGGTATGCATTGATAGAGCTTTCAAATCAAACAAGAAAACTCACTGGCAAAAGGCAACGCACGATCTTTCCTACCTTGGATAGCTTTTATAAACGATGAATGAATAATTTGCTCTTGTGCTTACGAAAGGGTAGATTGAATTCAGTCTAGGAAGAGGTATCGATTTAACCTATTTGGAACTTGATAAGTAGCAAATTTACAAAACTTTTTGTGTTCATGAGAATATAGTGAAGAAATATGCATAAAGTCATTGGAGATGCTTAAACTAACATCTTATTCTCAATGAACTTTGATAAGTGGTAAATGGAGGATTAGTGAGTTGGTGTTATAGCAATAAGAGAAACATTCTAGCGATGCTTTTTTAGCTTTGTTGGTAAATTCAACTTCCGAAAAAGTAGATTCAATAATTAACGATGCTGCCTTCGAATTGATTATTTTAGCATTTACCTTCATGGCATGCACTAAAAGGTTAAAATCAAGTCAACAGTCATCTTATTCCTACTGTTCATCTGTCATTTTCAGTGTTCGCTGGATAGCGTTGACTAGATTAGTAATCCGACTGAATACGTGTTTGTTTTTGTATGCTTTCCTTGACGATATTGAAGTTTAGTTAGAGATCTCCAAGACTCATTAACTTATTTTTGAGTCCTAGGCCAGTTCACTAATTCATAGTGTTATTAAAGTTGAATCACCTTGATTATTAAGCACTGTCCTAGGAACTAGTTTCAAGTAGTACTCAGTTTCATTCAACTGAACGATACTGCTGTTTTAAGCAGTATAGGTGAAACCAACTGAAACTTATAAATCTCAGTAATTACTGCATACATCGATTGAGAACTGTTTAACTTGTATCTGAGATATTATATTTGCCATTGTATGATGTGATTATTTTTATAATGGATTGTGAAGAAAGATTTCCATTCATTTAAAACGTCTGGAAGTAAATCATCAGAAGCTTTGAGAACACCAAATAGTATTGTTATAAAGCTTTCATTAGGTGTAACTCCTATATTTCATACATACCGGGTTGATTATGATTTAGAAATAAGTTAGTAGCCTCTGAATGAAAGTTTATTTGTCTAAGGACGTGATAACTTAGACGACTAGATTAAGAGCTTGTACAAACAGCTTTAAATGCACGGTAAGTTATCGGTACTTAATCTGTTATGTGCAATCAGTTTAACTCATTAAAGCTAGTGACGTCATGTATTCATCGCATATTGATTGATTTATTTTTAGCACAGCGTTTACTGACAAACGAATTTTAATGAAACTTTTGTAAATTAACTGATGGGTATCAGTTATTAACTTGCTTTCAATTTGTACAACTTTAAGGTAATCTGACGAATCAATTTCTAGCATTTATTATGAAAAAGTGTGATGATCATCTTTCAGATAATAACTAAAGACTAACATTTTCCTGAACAATGAAATTCAAATTTACTTGAGTCTTCACTGTTATAAATTAACTTTGAATTTCATTGTTCAGGAAAATGTTAGTCTTTAGTTATAATCTGAAAGATGATCATCACACTTTTTCATAATAAATGCTAGAAATTGATTCGTCAGATTACCTTAAAGTTGTACAAATTGAAAGCAAGTTAATAACTGATACCCATCAGATAGCTCTGTTTCAAACCATGATAAAGAGACAATACTTGAGAATGGAAATAACCAATAGTTTGTAAAAATATCAATATGAAGTAATTGGGTTATTTGAAGATGCAATTCTTTCGTGGCATTTTTTTCTCATGTAAGATTAAGGTTACAGGTAATGTTGTATCACTGAGCAGAAGTACAGCAGCATAACTAATTTAAACTGTAACCAACTTAATAAGCTCTCCATATTCATCACTATTTAGCAACCTACAAAATTACATCAGTTAGCACCCTAAATTCCTCGTGTTGTGATTCTTATTTCGTGTTAACGCATATTACTGGTTATCTAAAAGAGAATACTTCGAAAAAATCTGGCTTTGCTTCGACCATCATATTGTTTGTTGTAAGATTCATGTTTTTTCATCTAGGAATTGTCATCATTATTGACAAAAATCTGTCCCGAGATGCCCTGGTACGGTCGAGAGTAGGGAGAGACCGCTCCCACATGGCCACGCGTATATAGCCTTTGCCAGGGAAGTTCTACTCAATGTCTTCTCATGGCGGGGGTGTTGTTTACGAAAATGAGAGGACGAAAAGCGAACGTCCGGTGCTTTAACCGGTTCCCAAACCAATGGTACACATGGGCTCCAGTATCCTGAAGGAACAAATGGCGTATGAGCCAATCGTTGGTCACCGGCTACCATGGGACTGCATCTCCTTACGATGCTCCGCACTTTACTGAATACGTACATTAACATTGTTTTAAACAGCTGGAAGAGTACCTGTTCTAAAAAATTGGAATATACTGAATGTTTATTTATAACGCCAACTGCTGTCTTATCAGTGTTCTGAGTGATTATAATCGCGTAAAATTCTTGTCACCTAGAATGACTGGCATTCAACAAAACTGTATTTTACTTTTATTGGCAGCTTATTATCTATTGAGTGAATATAATATCAGTCTGGAATTATCACTCTTATTCGTGAGTTCCGGTAAACTTCTAAAATAGCTTATTGCATGTTCAAATTTATCAGAAAAGTAAACATGTTACTTTATAGGGACTCTAGATAAATTTTAAAAACGATTGATCGAAATTTAGCAATGTTCCATAAATACTGTCTCTAGCGTTCGATGGCAAGACTATAATATACCGAAAACCTTTAGCGGATTAATGGGTTGCCTTGAGACTAGCTTATCAATAACAGTCAATGAAAATGCAGCTTTCGTGTGAGATCTCTAAAATATAGAAAAATGATAGAAATACGGAGGATTAGAATTTTGCAAAAAAACATTAATGACTTTATTAAACCTAAACATTGATAATTTAGGCTTGATATCATAGTTTTGTAATCAGGGTAAATCTTAATTCTTAGCTCTACATATTTTAAAGCCTAACTCTTAATTATAAAACCTGTCATCCATATCTGCTAACCCTGAAACTCCTAAACCCCATATCCTAACCCTAAAACCCCTCAACTCTGGCTCCTAGCCCTGAAACTCTAGATCCTAACGGCAGAACTCCTAACCCAAATACACTTAACTGAATAGTTCCTTCCACAATGAATACATCATCCGATCCTTTTGAAATACGAAATATAATAAAAGTCATGAGTTTTAGCAACAAGCTATACGGAACAGCGTTTTAAATTTACGCATCGATTAGCCTAGTTTTGATTAGTCGCTCAAGGCCGTTGGTATAGCACAGTCTTATTATTGTTTCATTATTGGCTTGCTGCTTCTCACTGTTTATCATATAAAATAATACGAAGCAATCAAGAGTCATTTATCTCGACAGTCGTACTTTTGTAACTTAATCAAAAGATTTTTCCAACCAAACATTGCATCAAATAAAAATAAGGGCGTCATCAGTAGACTAATATAAATCTCCGATAAGGTTACTTATATTACAGAAACTAGATTTAAGTTGTACTATGATGGATGAGCTTTCTTGTGACCTCTGTCCACTATCATATGACAAATCTCCCATCAGAATCCTGAACCTAATTTAGTCTATTTCGCGTTCACTATACCCTCTAAGGCTTAGTTTCTCGGATTTCGCCAATACACACAGTCAATACTATTAACCGTGAACCAACAGCTAGTTGTTGTTGGTGCACGATTCTCTAGCCTTTCTCAACCCTGCCCTTGAGTCTGAAGCCATCCTCTACTATATTTTTTTTCAAACAGACGTAGTTTATACACAGTCAGACAAGACCGCATCACACCATGAAATGATAAATAACGGTTATACAGGATCAGGCCAAAAGTCGCTGTGAGTACGGGATACTGTAAATGATTGACTGGGAGCAAACTGAATATAGTAGTAGTTAATGGGTTAATCAAAAGCTTATGATAAAGGGAATACGTATAAATAGTAACATTGTTATTGAGTAGTTACCCTCTAAAGTTATGATTAGTAATTATTTGGAAAAATCAGTCATAACTTTGGCAATATTTGTTCCGTTATAACAGGATCGTTTCCGATCTAATGTTTTTCTAAATGAAAGTTGTAATTACAGTAATAATGAAAGACCCTAACATATAAATGTGAGTGATATGGTCTACACTTTCCAGTTATCATAAATTTATCAAACAAAATTTAATCACTTGGTAATTTTCTGGAGATCAGAATACCTTATTTTGGTAGATGTTGCAATATCAAATAATCGATTATTTTTGTTCAAACATTGGACTATAATATACCGCCTTTGTTTAACAAATCATAAATGACGGAAGAAAACAAATTTCTTTGGTATACTTCCATGAGACGATATTTATTTTACCTTATCATCGAGTTACGTTCAATTTTTATATGATATCACCATTTTGTGTGTTTCATCTTTTCCTATCCTAGAAGTATCATGGTTCATTTTTTGAAATATGTTGAATTCTATAGATTTAGGTTGATGTTGTTTATAGCTATTAGTTAAAGTCATATAATGGATGACTTTTTAAGTTTTTGTAATTTTGTCAATGGAATAGTCTGTCTTCTGAAACAGTTGAGATGTTTATGTCATTTCGAGATTTTATGTATATAACACTCACAAAATACTTTGTTATTTAGAAAACATGAGTACCTTTCACGTTTTATCCAAACAAATTTGAACCTACAGAGCGCTGGATACACATTGGAGAATTTAACCGAACGATTTCAATTTTTGTACCACATGAATTATTTCATTAAACCTAAAGGTAAGTAGTTTTCCTAATATCATCAACCTCAGCCTATCAAATCAAGTTGCTTTTTGTAAATGCCATGCCAAGTGCAGGAAAATAGTACTGAGTGAAAACGAGGAATATTTTTCACCTGTTGTTCCTCAAAGATACAATAATTGTGGATTTAAATGTTAAGGAATTTTCAATCAATTAATTATAGGAGAATAAAATTTGTTTCCACATCCCTTGTGTTACTAATCTACGGAAATATTGACTCGTATATCTGATAAACCACTGATCCGTTTTTTTGTAGATAACTGAAAATGAACTTATGCTTATGGAATGCAAATATTTTGAACCTGAAACTAAATAAATCATTAATAACACAGTAGTAGGAATACGCTCGATAATTAATATTAAATATAAAATCATTTATTTTACTAAAGATATTTTATTCATAAGTAATTAAAATTAAACTCAGTTAATCTTAGTATGAAGTTAGTTGTAGTCATGGAATGAGACACCAAATACAAAACAATAGGGAAGCTGAAGGTAATAAGTGGCTGGTTGTTTTGCATTGTGATCTAAGTAAAATGGGAAATATTGTCTTTTGCGGTAACTGAAGAATAACATCACTATGATTCATGAAAATAAACATATTAAAGTCTGTACTACTGAATATTTGCACAGCATAAGAATAAACACAACTGATTAGTTCTTTGAGATTGTCGATATTTCTTCAGCTTTGCCGGTATGCACCTGAAAACAATCCTAATTTGTTTAAAAAGTCTTTCTGGAAAAGATCTAAACAAACCTGTAAAAAATGACCTATTTAAAGTATAGGGAATATGATAGATGATGAAAAGTGCATTACATAGAGTTCTTCACATGACTATACCTGTTATTTTAAAAATGTTCACATAGATACTTTATTTTGGTAATATAATCGTCATTCTCTAAGTACAGATACACAAGTATCCCCGTTTTAAGTACAATGACATAAGTGTTTTTCTTGTATTTTTAGACAGTATAATTGTATGACAATTATTGTTATTAAATGTCCAATAATAAGAATATTTGTACTTTATTGGTTCTTATCTTTTTTAAAAATATACTACTCTTTTTCGTTTCTAACAAATATAATATAAAGAAACATTAAACTTTTAAACAGTTGGTTCATTGAAATTTGAAATCGATATTTCGCAATTTCGAATTAGAAGAATAAAACGAACCTTTCTTCATTAATATTTTCAGTCAAAGTAAAACAGGTAGGTCCATATAAATTATAATATAATTAGCATAATATCATTAAGAGTGCGTGTCATTTGTAATAGTTACATTGATTAAGATATTTTATTGTTATAGAAACTGATTTTAACGAATTCTTACTATATTTTAAACAATATATTCATCATTCAAAACTAATAATAATGTAATATTCTGTTTGATTCATTTTTGAAGCGATCTACTTAGTTAAATTCATTATGTATTGACATAGGTAACTTGATTATTTTAATAAACTATTCATTGTACCTTGGAATAAACTTGGTGGTTCATATAGAAACTGTTGTTATTATGGTGTTAACCAGTTATTTTTTGTGTGAAGTTGACAATAATTATTTAACTAATGATAAGGCACACATTGAAATGTTCAGTTTGTTATTACTAGTAATTGAGTAGTGAATACCATATCATTGATTCAGTGCTACAAAGACACTTCTACTTCATCCAGGCTGATAAAAACTTGTCCAATGGAAAATCATGAAATTTAATCTTATGAGCTAATGTAGGAAACCATTTCATAACTAAAACATTATATTTTACTTTAGCCTCACTTTTAACTGATTTTGGTGAAAAGAATATACATTTATGCATTATTGATAGAGTGACTTGACTTTGGTAACGTATTTAGAAGAAAGTATTTTTCCAGGATTTCACCAGCAATGAACTTAATTCATTTACTGTGCTTTGTTTATTTAATGCTTCATAGCTGAACGAGACCCTGCTCATAACTTGTGTAATAGATTAATAACACTCTTTGATCTACTTAATTTAAAGTTATTGACTCGTTTTGTTAATAATTTTCGGCTCTATGGTTCCATCATAATTTCACGTCCACTACAAGTTAATTCTGACTTCAAAATTTATCTGATGTATGACAGAAAAATTACAACTATTGGTGTATTTGAGAATAAAACTTAATAGGTAACTTGTTCTGTTGTCAAGGTAAAAAAAATTGGAGTAATCTGTGTCACGTATAACATTTCTAGATATTAGAAAATATGTTTAAATTACTTGTAATTGATTTACCTACATCACATCTGATCATATACTTTGATAATAAAATCTTTATACTGTTTACAATAATAAAGTGAAAACAATGTATATGCTGATAGCTTATTCAAATGCCACTGTACAACCGATATTGTCAGCATTTTTTTCATCTGACTGTTTACAAATATGTGAGAGCATTTTATATGTTCTGTGTACATTAACTTATTAACGTTGGTCAACCAGATACAAACGTGTTAACGGTGGTGGAATGTTGACTGTATCACACTGTAGGTGCTAGCGAATTTTACGTGTACATGCATTGGATTGTACTATCGACCTGCAAAATGCAAACGCTTAGTCTTCAGTCTTTCATTTGCATCTTGTAGTGTATTCTGCCATCTAGCTAATTCTAAGCTGGCTTCTCTTCTGGTCTCAAAGTTTTCTACCTACATTATACTTCTTGATGTACTAAAACTCCTCTCTACGTGTGCTGACTAACAACTTCTACGACACTTATCAACCCTACTCAAAAGTAATCTTGTTAGTAGTACACATCACATTAAGGTAATAGATGCATAGAAGTAATCCAGTTAATAATTGATTCCACTTAATGAATTTACGGATCACACAACGCATTTTTATTAAGAAATATTTAATATGATCTTAGCTAAAAGTATAACTGAAACTGTTTAAACGCACGAACAAGAATATTATAATTATGTTTATTACAATCAAATTTTGATTCTCTTGTAATTGATTTTACTAGTGTGTGCTTTAAGTGTTGTACAATCTGACAACAGAGCTATTAATAGACTAAAGGGTAGATAGTGAAATACCTATATGTTATGTATACTTTTATTTATAGATGGCCATTCTATTATTGCATTTAATAAATTCAACTGTCAATATTGTTGTCATCTTTCATGAACCAATCATGTCTACTTATATGCCTTCGATACAATCACTGTTTTGATATGACATACTAAACTAGTATTTTTGTCCAACAGTAGACATTATAGGTAATTTCATTAAATATTATCCTAACCCCTTTGTATGAATTTTCTAACATGTAATCTGAGAAATCTATATGCTAGTATTCTATGAATATTTCAATGTTGAAGTGTAAAGATCTACTATGACTGAGCACCTGTTTGTTCTTGAACATAGTTTGGAAATTCCCACAATGATAACTTGGTTAATCAACAAAAGGTAGATGTTACTAATATTCCCAAGAGAAGAACTTGATAAAAGTTCGGTACCTAACTTAGTCTATGAGAAGTTGAAATCTTTACAGTAATTTATAAGAACCATGTCCTTTCGAAATGAATCATAACAATAATAATAAATCACTTTCTGACAATTTAAAGAACTTATTTGCTTCTGTAGTCGGGCAAATAATTATAGTCCATTCAACGTGCATATCATATTATTTAAAGTAAACTATTAATCGTGAGGGATTAGTTTCATAACTTATCATTTGTGGTAGGTATTTTATTTCTTGGAATACTTATTGACGAAGGCAACGTAATAATGATATGGTTGTGATATTCCACCGAGTAAAAATTATAATTTCTGAGGTTTCCTGGCATAGTGTAGCCTCGTTCCCCAAAGTAAATGTACAGTTCATTTTAAGTAAAAAGGTATTAAAAAAATAATCAATTATTTCAACTATTGAAATTACAACAATCTCCACAAAACCCCTTCTGATAATTATTTGTATGTTGATACACAATTAAATAAACTATAAAAATCATCCTTATTCTGCCAAAGTTATATAAAAAGACATGCTAATCAACAATGTTGAACAATTGTAGAATTCAATAATTTGTTTTTAAGACTATAAAGCTGAGCATCAAAATATCATTGGCTGAGTTTGCTAGTCATTCATTATTCATTTTTTCCAAGACATGGGTTTTATTTGATTACTTAAAATGAAGTCACCATAACTTAATTATAAGCTGAAATAAATTATCAAGATACCGTAGAAACATTATCTTTTCAGCGAATTTTGTTGTTTAGTTTCTTTTTTTCGCCACAAATACACTTAACTGGAAAAATAATGAATAATTTATTTTCTGAAAACCATAGAATTTTATGAAAGTGTATTAATTCAAATGAATAATCACCTTTGAATTGTTAAACTTAATATTCCCTCTATTTCAAATAGATATTCTCTACTTTATATACAAATAATTATATAACCATTCTAAGTATTCTCTTTTTTTAGCGAAAACTTTAATAATCACAGTTTTGCTCATTTGAAGCCACCAGATTCCTGTTTTACTCGTAAAACTGATTTTGTGTAAATTACTTTGCTTATGTTGCATTTATCAGATAATCATTAGTAAATCCTTATTAGTAGTTTGGATAGCTATTATACTTATGGAATTACGCTTAGTTCGACCCTAATGTAAATATGCGATATATATAGTTTGTTATGTGGTAGCCTCATAGGAATTTTTTACATCTAATTTGTAATATTGAATTTCCAATATCTACTTGAACATAGTACATATCATAGCGCTTACTGTATATTTCTGTAAAGACGAAATCCAAAATAGTCTTTACTATTAAGTCATAACATAAGCGTATGTTAAAATAATACAATACAGTAGAGGAAACTTAACCGATAACATAATTTAAATACATTACCAGTACAACTTTAAAGTAAGAAGCCTGATTGTAAACCTCCTAAAATATTACTGTTTTAGAAAAATGTATTTATCGTTTCTCTATTAAATGTAGACAACAAACAAGTGAAAAAGTAATCAGCTTTCAAAATCGTTACGGAAATGAATAGTAATAAGAATTCACCATCAACATTACTTCCTTTAACTCAACATCTGAATCTACATAATGGTAACTATGACAGTGAAATCGAAGATGTACTCAAAATATGGGTAAATTAAAACTAAAATAAATTTCCTTTTACTTTCTGTTCTTTAAATTTCCATAAAACATATTTGATGGAAAATCTTTGGGGATTAAGTGCCAGTAGGTGGGTTTCATTTTAAGGCTAAATTACTCCATAAAATGGAGACTTTTATACAGATACAAGTGTGATTGGTAGTCTGTAGTATTCTGATGGATCTAGAATTTTTATCGGATATTACAATTATATTTTTCATTTTCAACGTTAAACGACTGATTCGCCTCATTCAGTTTATTGATCTCACATAAGAGATTTGAACATGAAATTCTTTAGAGAGGAATTGTTTTGATTATCTTAGTAAATTAGTCACTAAATCAGACAAAAATCACCGAACAGTTATTTACTATATGAACCAAACTCCCTAAGTGAAACTACCTCAATTTTGACCATTTTGTCTAAAGTCACATTCTTCTTGGTTTTAGAGCAAACAATTAGAGCAACAAATGTTTTCTTTCCAAATAACTTTTCATCATGACTCTACACTAACGTTTACCTATCTAACTATATATATATATAGCAAGTATGTATATATTAACTTCACAAGAAAATGTCTCGATTTATTTATGAATCAATATAATTGAATATTAGAACTGCCTGTCCACTTGCCATTTTAAATTACTTCGTTGATCGTTTACTATCATTTTGTCTAACACTCGGAATTCGTAACACTGTCACCTAACTAACCACCAGTTAGTTTGTAGTGATTATGTAAAAATTTTAAAATATGTACACATTAGTGCAAATCCATAATGCGAAATTAGTTAAAAAGAAATAAATGTTGTGTTTGATAGGAGTGCTATCGAGTATTTTCGCTGAAAAATCTCGAGCAAAGTTCTTTTCGAACCATATATGTGCATTACAAATATATCATTTAAACAAATAATCCTAGAGATTAGACGTACTTGTAGTAACTAACCTTACGTTACGGAAAAAGGTTTCCTTGGAATTTCTATTCGATTTTGAGCATCATATTTCTTTAAATCAATTGTTGTGGTTACAGGTATGGTTTTTGTCCACCATTTTTTCACATTTTACCACATTTTTTCATCAACTTCTAATTATGCACTTAGTATTTAAACAGAACATCTTCAACTGTACTGAGACCCTTTTATTCATCAAGAAGAAATAAGTAATCATTACCTAGTCGGGATTAACTCAATGAAGCATACTATTAACGATTATAGTTGAGTTTTAAATTAGGTTTTAGCTATCAGTAATCAAATCAAGTATTCATCCAAATGAAATATGACTTTTTTGGTAGATTATGAGTACTTTAACTTCTACAACAGCTCAGTGAATTCAAATATTTCTCTTAGTTTAAACTCTATTGAGTATAAAAGTTGATAATTAAAAACGATTCATTCAAGTTCGTTATGAAGTATCTATTAGATCGCATTCTTTATCACCCTTATAAAGTTATAATACCTTTTTATACAATGAATATATACACTGTGGAAATCATTTATTTTTAAATTATACCTAAGTAGATAAAAAGGAAATAGGTTATTAATTAGAAACAGATGGTGTAAAAATAGTAAATTCTACCAACCTATTCTAAGATAGATTCAATTAATAATAAGGGATTTTTTAAATAATAAAGGTCGCCAGCTCGTAGGTGTTATCTACAATCCATTCAGATTTTGTAAATTTAAACCAGAACACAAAATTCCATTGTTTGTATCTGAACGATGATATGATATTTAACGTTAATTAGCTTAATTGAATTAAGAGTAATTTCTAAATTCGAAACTGTAATATTTTAAATTTATTGATCTAATCGATGAGGACATATTATATCCTAAAAGTGGTCCTCGTGATAACAAATTTGTGGTATTGAAAAATGTGAAGACCTAAATATTAGCTGGAGTCCATTTAAAATAGTATCATCATAAAAGTACATTTGTTTGGTGTTGATTAATCAAAAGTTTTATTATTGTTTAAGATTGAACTTGACAAATCAAGATAACAAAAAGTGTGAAGTATGTGAAACTAAGACTTATATGTTGAGTATGTTTAATCTCACCACTTTAGAATGAAGAAAAGATATGTAGGCTAGTTAAACTCTCTTTATGGTGTTGACTTCTTTAGACTGGACGGTTTAATGGCAAAGATAAACTGTCTTATCTCGTTATCTTTGTTACATTTGTGTGCCTTTTTATTCCCATTGTCTATTATTTTAGACTAACCTCTAATCATGAGCCTAATAAACCTTGTTCTAAACCGTTGTTTGACTTTATTTTAACATACATTTAACAGACTGAATTTCTAACCACACTTCTAGAACATTTTCAGCATTCATAAATTTTCTGTTTCTTGGTTTTAACACTTTTCAAGTTGAATATTTGTTCTGAGCTATCTCCGTACATTGTCATGCTGTCATTCATCTGCAAAATCTGAGCTGCTGTTTTCATAAACTACGTGGAGGTCCATTATCTCGATGTATTGTTTCTTGCAATTAGTTCAATTCATTGTCTTAAAACGGTTCCTAATAGTTATTTATGACTAAATAGCTTGCAAAATTAATCGTCACTAATAGAATTAACCTTGTTTTTAGAAATGGAATGAACTTTTCTATCTGAATACCAAGATTTCAACCAGTAAACATTTTGAATAGGATGGGTGATTTCTATAAATTATAAACTTTGTTTTTTTGTACTTCCTATTAATAAGATTATCGAAGACAAGAATAATCTTTGATTCCATCGGATTATTATATACGAAGGGAATTTCAATCAATAGCAATGATTGAGTTTATTATAATGAAAAATGAGTAATATTTAATCTCAAGATACGATTCATTAGTAAAAGTAAATAAGTAATGTTTCGTGATTTCGCCATAATAATTAGAACAAAGCAAGTTTATGTGTGTGCTAAAAAAGACTGTACGCAGTACTGACAGTGAGTGTGTACCTGAAAACCCAGGTTTAATCTCTCCCTTCGCACTTTTCCGCTATACATTTCTACTGTATTGAATTTCTACAAGGCCTACATATTTAAATTAATAATGCTAGCTAGATATTGATTGTAAATTCGTTTTTCTTTGGTGTTATGTCACTCATATACAGTGTTAGATATAAATTAGAGTACTTATGATTCCTTCATCTAAGACTCAGTTGTTTAGTCCCATAATGTGCGCAAAAATCTGATGTGGTGCATTACTACAGCATCAACTATATAAAGGCATTTTTTGAGGAACAAAATGAAATACTCTATCTATTGATATGTTATGAGCATAGTTAGTATCCAAAACATTCATCTATGAGTTAGTAAGCGGAAGTCACCTGAAATCTCAGAAACAGAATAATAAAGTCGGAAATTAGTAAATATCTTTATCATTTGAAATTTGAAACAAAAATGCTAAACACTTTTCTTGTAGGTTAAACTTGTACAAAGTTTATATTCCTATGACTTGGGTAAGTTTTATTTAAACTGAAGTCTACAATGGATTGCAATTAGGTTCCGACACATAAATCTAACCTAGTTACTGCGTGATGTGAGCTACTTATGCGGGTAGACATATAAAGTATGCAGCAGGAATTGAAAGTGGAATGTTTGCCAGCAGAAGATTGAAATAAAAGGAAGAGAAAGGCAATCAGAACTACGATGGGATTGGTAAAATGATAGAGTGTGTAAAGGACAGCTCAAGGTAGATATGCAAATGAAGTATTTAATGTATGATTTTCATATTTTACAAAGGCACTGTTTGATTTTGCATTAAATAATAAATTGGTTTACAATACTTGAGTTTTTGTATATTTCTAACATTTTTAAATTGGCAGGATGATGTAGAACAACCTCATTCTTTTAAATGATCAACAAAACCCTACAACGTGCATTTAAATGGTTCTCTCAGATGACCTGAGTGTCCATTAAGGGTGATGCAAGTTCATGACAAAAGCTAATATCGTTGAACCAATTTGGAATATCTTTTCACTTTTTATGTGATAAACACTGTGCTTTGACGAAAACTTTATATTTTTTATTTCACAGAATAAAATAGAGATTCATGTGAGATGTAATCATCAAACTCACTTCTTTTCAGATATTGCCTACTATCAACCAAAATATTCATGAAGATTTGTTAAGAAATAAGTCCATAGAAGAAAGAAAATACTGTGACACTAATAATTACGCTATGTCTGCAAATGTGAATTCAGCTAAAGAATTGACGCTTTCCGAATCAAACCATATACAAATTAATGATAACAATAAATTCGCTTCAAATTTAAATCACATCATGAAACAATTGTCACGGAAATTGTGCAAACAGTACCTCCTTCCAGATGAATATACTGAACTGGAATCTGAACTTGAAAAGTCACTGAACATTGCCAAATCGAGTTCAAATACAGTTTTGTATGCAAAATTTAAAAGTGACAACCAATCATTAAATCATAAAAAAGTGAAGCATTTACACACAAAGAATAATTATGAAGACCTTAACGTGAGTTGTACTACAGTTGGCTTTAATATGATAATTCTTAACTTAATTTAATTTAACCTATGTTTGATTCATTCTGAAAATATAATTTAGAATCACAGCATAGTTTGAATTTAATAAGCTGTTGACACTTCATTTGCCTAACACCATGCAAAGATGCTAACCGGCTATAGGTTTACAAATGTTTTGAACAATTAAGAAATGTAATTATGAAACCCATTCAACACTAAGTGTATAAAATAACCCACCATTCAAATTTCATGAATGATGAGTTTTCACATTCTCTTTTACATATCAACATCACTGAATCATAGTCACTTTAAAATACACTATTTATTCACATATCTTTACAGATTTTTGAATGATGGTGGGCATAAAATGCTTGTTGAATGAATGTGAACTGTAGAATACACCGAATCACTACAAACGTCACTTTTCAGTTCGCCCAATTTATTGGCTCATACACGACTTTAGCTAATCGAGTCCTTACAAAACCACTATTTTTATTTATCAGTTTAACAATTAAAATGTATTGATAGTTATTATAATTACATCGTTTTCTAGTAATACAAGTTGATTCCCTGAAAGCACAGATATATATGAGAAGAACATATATTCGCTGTCTACTGAGTTGTTTATCTGACCACTAACGAAGTATTGTTCTTATCTTTATGAAATATCTCATAGAAATACTTAAAAAGATTAAATCTAACGGGTAGAACTAACACCGTTTGCCAGCTCGTAAATTTATTTCATCGGTGATCCACAATTTAAAATTCATTACAGTTTCCATTGTTAATGTTGAATAGCATTAAATAATTAGAATAATCAGACCATTCAGCGGATCATAGAATTTCCCTAGTTTACCATACGTTTCACACCATGAACTTGTGTATAATTTACAAAATTTAAGAGAGGATTTAAATTTCCTCATCCTTTCCGATTAACCAGTGACAATGTTTCAGAGCCTTGAGTGTTTGCTTGTTGTGTTTGAATGGCAGATGCAACCAATTTTTGTGAGATGAGCATTGTTAGAGTTTGCGAACATAGTTAACTTAATTAGTTCTTGATATCGCGTCGTTATGTGAAGACCAGTTCTATTAACCAAGCGTTTTCTTAGCGGACTGATAATCAGTAAATGGGGTCCAGGAAAGTCAGGACTTGTATATAAAATGTAAATTAAATGTACCTTAAAAATTAGTTTACACTTAATAGGTGGCTGACCTTACGGCTTTCAAACATTTTACAGAGTCATTTGACATTCTACAAAGAAGACTGGCAGTGAATGATTAAAAACAGATCAAATAAATATGAATGTTAACCTGGAAATGTAATCGCAGGTATAACAAAAATTAGCACAGCCAGTCATTCGTTTTTTTTCGCGAATACTTTAGAATTGATGACATCACTTCGATGATATGTAAAATGTTAAACATAGGATTACCTACAAGATGTTCTTCTAAACCAGACATTCCGCTTTGAAAGTCTTGTATATTTTTACAAAGTAGTCATCGTACGCTAAGTTAAATTGTTTTCTCGTGCTAAAGCACTCAAATTAAATAAACAGAAAAAAAGCCGTTGATTCCATAAGTTGCAAAAAAAGTCTGGTTAAAGTTCGAAATTCATATGAACTAAAACTGAAGAATAAGACTCATAATTTGGAAGATTTAAAACTTGTGACATTAAGTAGCAAATAATCTAATTCAAGTATTTAGGCTGTAGACGCCAGTGATTTCAGTCAAATGGAAATAAACGTACTAGTTGAAAAAGGGACAGTTTTAACTAAATTCATTATCTCTGAAAGATATGACGAATTTATTTGCGAATCTGATAACATTATTCATTATTTTAGGATTTCATGGTTCTGAATTAAACTTAACTTTCAATTCACCAAGGTCATCTCAACCTTTTATCTGTTTTTCACCATCTACTTACTGGTTTACATACATACATCTCTCCTTATTTGAAACTTCACCATATTATCCGTGTTATTTTTGTCATTCTCCATTATAGGGATTTTTTGTTGAATAACTTTAAGGGCTGTATCTTCTGTTTTATTTCTTAGTCCGCTTGCATACTTTATAGCCTAGTTATAAATATAACTTACCTACCTACTTTTCAATAAAATATTATAATTTAGATTCATCTGTCTAGGCTGCTACTTAATCAATAAAAGTTTGAAACAACTGATGTGAACAGGATCAAATGAATTTAATTTATGAGTTTATTGTTTTTCTCTTTTGGGATAAATGATCTTTTAAAGAAAAAAGTTGAACAGAAACCGTTTTGTTTGATGTATACCTCTTAGTAATTTGCATGTCATAAATACTTAAAATTATCAATTTTACAAATGCAGAAAGTTTCGTATAAGGATACTTTCGTTTATTTTCACAGTTGACTAATTGCATTTAAAAATTCATAAACGTGAAATTAGTGTGTTGGTTTTACAAATGTTATTAGACAATTATACGAGTTTATAATGATTTTACATTTGTCGGATACTTATTTCAAATTGAATTCTTAGACCGAATAGAATAGGCAACTTTTTCAACATAAGTTTATAGACGAAAGAGAGAGAGAGTCAATAAATAAATTATAGTGAGGAGTAAGGCAATATACCGGATACAGCATGCTTGCATTCAATTATTTTATGGATATACTACAGCAAAAGTTACTGATAATATCGCTATAAGTATCTCATAGTTTTGATTAATATAGGATTAAAGTTTTCAGAGGATATTTTTAGTAATGAACAGCAAATGAATTCAGGCTTAGGACTTGTACCTGAGCAATTTTCTCAAATAAAAATTATTTTATGCCGTTTATTCTTATAAATTTGCCCGAATTAATATCATTATAACTTGAGTTTTCATATGAAATTAAAGAATACTCAGAAATGTTTCGTATCTAATAATAGGATTTTGAGAAATACCAATATAAGGATTTCGGATATGGTATAAGCCAGATAAATGGTGAAAATTTGGAGTACATACTGAATGGTAAACATACAAAATCACCAGGAAAACGAATTTATGGTATGTTTTATTTATTCATTTCTTACTATCTTTTTTGAAAACGTTGCGACATGTTTTCTATGTCGATCTTAAATAGAAGATTAAACAGAAAAAAGATTTAATAGTTGAGATCATGAGTCAATTGAAGCTAGGCCACCATGGAAAACTTGGAAGCAGTGGACGGCCGTTTCGTCCTATCGTGGAACTCCTCAGCAGTGCTCATCCACGATACCACCTAGCAAGGTTCGGACCCAGGACCTATCGGTTTTGCATGCGAACACTTAACCTTGAGATCACTGAGCCGGCATCGAACGGTGCTAATGTCTGACTTCAACTAATCCACGAAATTAAGCGACACATCCACTACTGTCTTTAATGAGTTCCTATCTCACAACAGACCCGGTTGAAAAAATTTTGTCAAAAATATCAATGTATATATCTCGACGTTAAACTAAATTCGAAAAATCCTTAAATAATCAGATTGGAAACAATTTGATCACGAATTAATCTCTTCAAATAATAGAGCAAACTAGACTAATAAAGATAAGGGTAAAATATGAATATTAGGTGCAAATACTATAACTCACCGCGCTATGGATTTTAAATAAAAATAAGTACGATTTTTAGGGGTTAATGTAAATTTAACCTTTTTTTAAACAGAAAAAAAGAGACGTTTAAATGTTAGCTCGGATATATCACAACAAACTAATTTTAAAATATAATACGCCAATCGTTCTTTACTAGTTACAATATTCCAGGAAGCTTAAGTTATAGAAATAATCCAAACCAGCAGCTTAATATTAAAGTTTTCTTTAAAGACAAAAGGTAAACACGTTTGTATTGTATATAGGTAGATAAAAACGTTAAACTTCAAACAATTTATCAGACACACTTTGGTTTTGTTTTTTAGGATCTATAACACAATTATTTAGAACTAGACTATTATCATGAAATGAACATAAATTTCTGAACATATACAGGAAAACCTTGATAATGAGTGACTGAACCGGCTTTAATTTTATGCAAAAGCTAACGAAATGAGAAAGCTATGGTATATCAGAGATTGTAACATAAATACAACCGTTTTTGTGATAACGTAAAAGTCCGCAGTTCAAAGCTAAGTTTACCATATCCAGTGAAAAATCAGGTGCCAAATATAAAAATTCAGATAAAATCTAAGTAAAGGAAAGTGAATTGCAGCTGCGCAAGAACAGATCAACAAATCAATAGAATGAGACATTTTAGTCAAGTTGATTTCATACAACCTTATTGTTCTGATGAAAGAACAGATTATTGATATATGAAATAGCTAATGATAAACTATGTTTCTTAGATTTGAGGATGTCTGAATCAAATTTGAAATACTATTTGATAGGATTTCATTCGAAAAAATCCCTTAGATCTGAGTAGTTTTCTTAATTTAGGAATTAATCAGTTTACACTTAATTTCTTCATGCTTGACTGGTTCATCTTCACTGAAACATTAAATAAATCTGTAATAATTTTTAAAAACATTAAAACCTAAATAAACACTTAAATCGTATACATATAATTTTAAGTTAACTTTCAAACATCTTTAAAACACATCAATAATGTTGAATTAGAAGTTTCATACTACACTTAAGAATATCGTTAAAGCATATACATATGTGTTCCTTGAGATGAAAAATATTTGCTTCTAGTGAGGCATATTTATGCTTATCAAATATTAATCTGGTTTTATTGTATTATATATCCATTAAATATATATTAAGTGAAACTGATTTCCTGGTAAAAACCAGGCTGACGTGAGGCCTTCAATCTAATAATTCGATGTCGTGTATAGAAGTCATAGTTCCAGTATGCATAATTGAGATCGTTAGAGTAAACTAAATTATATCATCACAAAGAATAATCTAATTCAGTTTATTGTTCCTAAGCTTACCACTGAATCTATTATTTGTTACATATCTAAAAGCAAGATTTATGAATAGTGTTAAAATACTCGTGAGGACAGAAATAAAAAATGTTCAGTGACTTGGAAAGTCTAGAATCATAATAAACTGTTGTGATTTAGTAATAAAAAGCACTAAGTTAGTGATGAGGTATCTCATGTATGAACTCTTGGCTTTCATAACTCCTAAACTCAATTAAATGATTCCATAGCTGTCTAAAGTAAACTCTCCTTCATAACCTACCAAATGAGATGATATGCAGTTTGTGTTTTCATATCTCTTATTTAAGATTAATAGAATTTTATCTACAATATCACGCCAGTTCAGTCGAATAAATTGTATTATTTTTGAAAAAAAAACTATTTTTTAACTATAGTGAAACTTTTTAGGAACGATTATTTCATGCCATAATTGAAGTTCTATTACCGTTCTAATTATTTTACTTAGGGCTTGACATTTTAGTAGATTGTGAATGTAGAGAAAAAAATTAATGGAGTATTGAAGAGAAACTATAACAGTAACAAAGAAATGATGCAAGTTCATCGATCTTATTTTTTCAACATATTACTATTTTCTTACCAATTAATTAAAATATTTCTTTGGTACTTTATAAAACGGTGATTATATTTCTTCATTTATATGTTCACTAATACAAGTGTTGGCAAGACCAAAGTTTACGGACGAACCAATCAAGTATAAGATAACAGGTCTCGGATAAATAGAGTTTTGGCATTATATCTGATGCCAATTCCTAACCATAACTATTAACTGTAAATCGTAATTCTAATTCTTCACACTACTTTATAACTCTCATTTAGTCCTAGTTATTAAGTGGACACTCAAGGGCACTTTAGCGTCGCTCAAAGGTCGTCCATAAAATATAGTCTCACCCAATTGTTTTTTTCTCATTAATTTATTATTCTGAATAACGATTAGGCGTTTGTGGCTTAATAAATAATGTCTCGTTTCCATAATGTGTCAAATGGATTTTTAGTATCATCATTGTGTAAGTTTTCTATGAAATTGTCAAAAATGCTTTCGTAATAATTAAAAATCACTTTTGTTGCTGGATGTATGCATTGTATACCTGATAATTTAGCTAAGGGAAGTTTTGATATCAGTTATTTAGGACTATAATTTGCTTTAGCAAGCTTTAAAACTTAATCATTTAATGCATTTAGTTTTTCAGTATTGTGAATGATTAAGCCTTAATGGTGAAAAGGAAATCAAAATTAATCTGGTCATTTTTTCAACTGCCCATAGGTACTAATTTGTAAATGAGGCAAGAAACTCGAAACGCCTATGTATATAATGTATTGCTTCGTGGCATTTTTTATTGAAAAAACAAATAAATTGTTTAAGTTTCATTTGCCATTAAATAACGTCTATCGAACTATGGAAATCAAATGTCATCTGTTAGTAGATGACAGTGCTGGAATAATGGAATTTTGCATAAGATTTTGGGTTAACTTTAATTGCTTGCATTTAAATAATCCCACCTAAACGTTCGTTTTGGATGATTTTACTACAGTTTAGCTTGTGCGAATGTATTGAGTGTACTGAATAATATATCATCTGCATTCTTATTATGCAGTATTGAGACGTTTCTTTCAATTGAAATAATACACCTGAAAAGTTTCAACATAAATGTCTTTATATTTTTAATTATAAACAAAATAAAATTGCTAACAGGAATTTATCATTAAGCCATATTTTATATTACAACAATTGACTGATAACTCATCGTCCAAAACGTTTATTGTTCCTAAACTCTACCTTAATGGGGTTTGCGAAGGATCTTTGTAACTTGATTATAGCTTTCATCCTAAACCATTAGAAAAATCATAGAAAAACGGTTTCTTCCTGATTTAAGAGACCACTGAATTATTCATCCATAAGACACAAACATGGAACCAAACACTGGACCTAAAAGTTTTATATCTAGTACCGAATATTTCAGTCAATGAACCATTTTTCGCATTCGTTACCATCGCCAATAATTAGTATTTATCCTAAGTTATATTCCCAATAACATAACCTACTGAAGTTTCCCCGACCACTAAATAAGATTTTTGATAATTGATGAATTAATATATTTTATTTTTGTTGCAACATAATGTGTAACTAACAAGTGAGAATAATATTAGTGAAAAGTTGAGAACTGTTAGCGCTACTCTCTGCTGAAAGAAGTATTATAAATATCGAAAGTTATTTAAATGCTACCACTGGATACATGTAAACCTGAAATTCATAGGTTTATACTGTAATTGACAAACGTTTATTCAAAACCAACTTTTTAGATAAAATATCTGTTTTGATAAAGTGAATTACAAGACAATAAAAAAACTTGAAGACGATGATATAAAGCCGTTAATTTATAAACTAATCAGGAGTATCGCTATACTGTCACTAAGATTTCTTACTCCAATTGATTGTTCTACAACGGATAATCCTTTTCTTAAGTATCATCTAATGGAGAATTTAATTTTTGTTAAAGGTTAATCTTATTAAAATTTAGCATATTTTACAATAGACCACTAGTTTTGTGCTATAAACCTTTGTTGCATGTCAGCAAGATTAAAATTTAACTGATGAACACAGAAATGTGTTATAAATTTTGAAATGACCTAATGAATTCCTTGTTTTAAAACTGTATAGTTAGCGACAAGTTTACGTAGATACCAATTTAAAAAAAAGTATTCACTCAAGTAATAAAAATTATCCTGTTTCCAGACGAAATAATTATTGATTATCGCAAATGATTTATGATCCAGTAGATCTAGGAAATTCAGTAAACTTTTCAATAACATTTTACGAGTATTCCCTTTAAAAGTGATTTGAAAGCAATTCTTTTGCGAATGTTATTTTTAATTCTTAATTGTATATTTGGCAACGAAGTTTTTAATCATACTAACTTATTTCATGAGAATATTACGTCAAGTTTTACTGAATCATCTTGAACTAACAATAGAAAATCCTTTCATTATCGGGGAAGAGTGTACAGAGTGAGAATAATTGTCTGCTTACCATTTAACTGATATATTTAAGAAAAACATGATAATTTCAATATGAATTAATTCAGTTTGAATTTACCATCACGTCAAATAATTATTATCTTGGTAGGCAGAATTGCATACAGTAACCGTTTTTTATGTACATACCTTTATATTTGAGTCAGTATAAAAGCAATAAATGTGAAGTAAAAAAAGATTATTTTCACTCCAGAGATGCAATTTTTAAACACTTCTTTCACATCTAAAGCTATGAGTCAACTTACTAAGTCTATAAGTGCCTATCTTTGAATACTAGTCATTTTATCCACCTCATCTTTTAGATGTTCTGTTATTCTTTGCAGTTAACTGATTCATCATCACTTGAGTCGCACCGGCTTTTTTTCACGCTCGAATATGTATATTACTGTAGAACCTTCATGAAAAAGTAATTGCAGTGAAATACTTCTCTCTTCTCGTCTTTTTTCTGAATAAGAAATGTGTTATATTACTTCCACTTCTATATTTTTCTATTTAACATTGTATTTCAATTTTAGACAATATTGTTCGTAAAGGGAAATTGACTCATATGCGTAATGAAAAGAAGATTGCAAGTACTCAAGTTGTATGCAAACATAAATACTGTGAAGATGCAAAATTATTTTCGTCAAATACTTTCACACGTTCATCCATGTGTGCACCGGAATGTAGCAGGTAACAATTACATGTAAAAACAGTTGTTTTAGTAAATATTCACTTAACTTCATGATCAATGTAATATAGTATGAGACTCATAGAAAATAAATTATCTATGGTGTTGAATGAAAAAATTATGGTATAACTTAGAGTATAATAATTTATTTCAACTTCAGTATACAGAAAAACTAACAGAAAGATAAATGATGACGTTCAAGGATGCTTACGAATATTTCCATTTGAATTTAACTTCAATCGACAGAAAAAAATAAATACGATAATCATAACAAGACTAAAAGTATTTGGAGATTCTTGGAAAATTCAGTACAATATGATCTCGATTCACAAAACATCATAAATTATTTTTGTTAGATAGAAAACACACTTTTTTGTAACGGTATTTAACATAGGCCATGAACTCAAATATAACCAGAATTACATGATTAACACAATGGGTTGTTTAGAAGGCACATTTCAAAGCAGTTGTATTATTACATAGTAAAATAAAAGTAGCCTACAAAAGTACAAATATCAAAGAAGTCAGCCTTCCATCACAACATCCATTAAAAATTAAGGTGAATACAGTATCATTTACTAGACTAACCAAAAGTATTTCCAGGATTACTCCAGCTTATTTTTCCCTTTTTGAATTTGGAAATGATTTTCCATATGAAATATTTTATTTCTGCAGCCTTGTAAATAATCTTTTTTTTGTTTTTTGTTAATTTAGCACGTTAGCAACACGTCGTCTGGAAAACGATTTAAGCAAATTGGTAAGATGGTCAATTTCAAATTGAATAAATTCTAGATACAGATCAAAGTTATAAGATTTAACTAAACATGTTAGAAAGCATGAAAATAAACTAATCATATAAGTTATAAGAGCTCATAGATAAAATCAACTCGTAAGTTAGACCATAAACTCTATATATCTTTGCTTTTTTTGTTAACCATTAGGGTGTATCGAACCGACTGTAATTAAAACCTTATACAATTTTTTGTACTTAGCAACTTTCTGATTGCATAATTAGTTGAACTCAGAAACAATAACATATTGTACGAGTTTACCAATCTATGTCACCGTTAACTCAGGCAATTTATTAGTATACTCTAATAGCCCCAAGATAAACAGCAATATATCACGTTCCTATGACGATACAAAACTGGTTTTTCAGGAAATTACTATTGCTGCTACTTATTAACACCGAATAAGTAGCCGTTAAACGAAAACCAAAAAAATCTATTCAGTGAAATATATCAAAGCAAAATAAAATGGTTATTATTAGATTTGAAGAAAAGTAATACAATTTTAAGAAATGTATTTGGTTAAAAATTGGTTTAAACCAACTCTTTTGTGTTATGTTAATATTCATTCAATGAAAAAGTTCAAAACTAAAATTAATTTAATCATTTTTATTATACAATTTAAAATATGATAGCAAATAATGTTTTCGGTAGGAAAACAATTTTACCCAGGATAAAAATAAAATCTATAATTAGAAATGATGTTTTGAACAATTATTTGTGTTTAATTGGTGACCTGTATCATATTTATCACAAAGACAATTAACTTCTTGTTTAGAAGAAGTAATGATTAAAACAAACTAGTTAACAGTGCGTATAGAATAAACTGTTTGACCAAGACAAATTTTCTGTACAAAATCTTTCAGTATTTTTAAAAAATATTTTACGGAAGGTTAGTGATTCCTTATACCTAAGATGTTTTGTTATTACTATGCAATGAAAATCCGAAATAACCGTCTAAATAATACACCAAGCCCAAATGGTAATGAGAAGAACGGATATAAGTTATATCATTAAGGTATATTATGTTAGTTACCGTTTTAATAATTCTATACATCTTGTAGTTTTGCAGCTAACTAATTTTCATTTAGATACATGAAGTACTAAACTGAGCCAAATTTGAATGTTCTTTCTGTAAAGAAATTCATGAAGTTTATTTCTCATGTGCTCGATAATTAGTCAGTCATTGAAAAGATGTAAAATAAGATTGGGTTAGGTGACTCTTACTCAGCCAGTCCCACAAATAAGAGTTGCAGGATCGGTAAGTCGAAAATAGAAAGACAAAAGTTTATACTAATAAACTATTTACTTTTATTGTAGCTATTTTTCCATACACTGAATTATAACTGACGAGCGGTTTGCTCAAATACTTTGACTAACTGAGGTTTTTGAGAGCATAGGTAATCCAAGCTGAATAATTTATTTTACTTGATATTACAAATCGATTCTGGTTGAAAAACCACTGAAAACCAGGTAAAAAATAGCTCTTTAATTTTAGGATAAGATTTTTCAGGAGCTTGCATCCACGATTACACTGAGGATGTAGTCGAGATCGGTTTATCCAGCAAACGTTTAACTTAAGATTGATAGCTAGGTATATATGTTTATATACGTGTTCTTTTTGCACACAATATATTATGTGTTTGCGTTACACTTTATTGAGTGACTTAACTTACAAAACGACTTTTCTGTTTTACAGATCCAACAAACGAGTGACAACGAAAACCATAATATAAGTAACAATGAGCAACCGTCCATTTCTTTGGAAAATGTTACACCTTTCAGCTTGACTGAGTGTCCATTATTGATGGACCTTTTTGCGATTCAGAAAGAAACTACTAACTCCTTATCAAACCAGAAAGACTCTGCATGTGAATCAGATAATCTGTCTTCACTTAACGGTGAATTGTAGTAAGTGATGTTAATAAGTTTCACTAAAACGGACAATCTGTCATCATAAGAATCATTTAATATTGTCGTCAAATAAGAATGTCAATTGGGCAAGTGATATGCTAGTGTTAAGTGATTTATTTTACAAAGTAACTCAATTATGTGCACAGTTCGAGGTTATTCATTTACTGATTATCTATTTCTATTGAAAGTTGAACATTAGACTTTTGTTGAAGAAATGACGCTAAATCATTTCAGCCGAATCGTTTTTCAATAATTGTATAAACCCAAAAATGTAGAATGATCACCACTTTCAAATCCAAAATTAGGTACTGTTTAAAGGATATAAGGTTTATGACCACCATGTTCATTTAACTCGCATGTATGCAATCGCAGATATACGTGAATGATAAAATAGATTTAAGCAAACTGGATGCTTTAAGTTATCATTTTTAAATCTCTATTTCTGTCTAAACAAAGATGGATATTGGTTAACAGTGGAATCCAGGACGCGCGTTTCGTCGTTTAATCAATCAAGTTGATTCTGTCACTTTTATCAAATGGGCAGTAAATCAAAATTAATTCACATTCTTCCATATCAACACGAATTTATGGTTGAACTGGTCATGGTTTAGTGTAGCGTACTTCCAAAGCCTCCAAGAATAAGTGATTTCTACTAGATAATGATTAAATTGTTTGAATAATAAGTTGTTCATAGAAGATTTCGATGAGTTTAACATAAATTATTCAGGTCGCTAAAACCATTCTATATGATTTAATAACAAGAAACGTTTATTTAAGTGCTTAGAATGAATATTTGGTTTAACATCTATTACGTATCGTTAAATTGGATGAATAATATACATCCTAATCAGTTTTCATGTTCACAATAAATGCTGATACATTGAAAAAAGTATTAATGGTTGTGAAAATATACTGAAATGTTTGATAATTTTCTTACTGTGATGATAGAATAGATGAAGTATACTGATGACATTTGTATAATAATATATGTAATATATAAAATGGATATTTCACACGGAATAAATTGTCATATGATGTTGTTATAATATCATAAGCATGAATGATTAGGGTACAGTATAAACTACAATATAAGCATCAATAATTAACAAGATGTTTATGGATAGTAAAATGGTGTTAATATGATTGCAATAGAAGAAAGAATGAAAGAAAGAAAAGAAACTGTGTATGTTTTCAATTGTTTCACATTTAAGATTGAAATCATTTAAGCATGAAGTAAATAAGCAAGCGTAAATGTTTAGCAATTGAATTTTTTTTTTTGAAGAATCAGTGATTGAAAACATCATCTATAAATAAATTTGGAACTTAGCATACAAATTAAAACCATTTAACTTTATCAGACAAATTATGATTCAATTTTCCAAAAACCTAAAACAAAATTGAAATAATAAAAAGTTGTGAAATATCTACAGAAACAAAACGAACTATATTGAGTAAATTCTATTCCTTCGTATGATATAATTACGTATTACATACAAATACTACACATGATCTTAGCTCAGAGAGCCGAGAAGCCCCCAAATGCCCTGGTACGGCCGAGAGTGGGGGGAGTCCGCTCCCCTTCTTGAAATGCTCTCATATGGCCACGCGTATACATCCCCTGCCAGGGAAGTCCTACTCACTGCCTTCTCGTGGCGGGGGTGTTGTTTACAAAAATGAGAGGACGAAAAGCGAATGTCCGGCGCTATAACCGGATCCCAAACCAATGGTGCACATGGGCTCCAGTATCCTGCCTGAAGGAACAAATGGCGTATGAACCAATCGTTGGTCACCGGCTACCATGGGACTGCATCTTTTACGATGCTCCACTGCCTTGTGGATCAGATCTTCAGGTCGAAGGCTCGGGGTGTGGCCCCCTAAGAAAACCACCTGCTTCGGTTTGGGCACCCGGGCAGTATCACAGCCCTCACACATATCAAATGAGATCTGTGTGGCGCATATGTATTTGGTGCCTTCTTGTACCGATATTTATGTGTTAAAATAAATAAATAATAAATAAAATTACATACAAATAAGTGATAACGAATTTCACTGTTTACTAACTTTCTGAATTTAAAAAAAAGAAATCATTCAAAGATCTTTTAACAAATAATCATAATAATTATATTCATAAAATGATCACGAAATTAATGACATACATTCTGTTTAGTCATTCTTTCATCACTCAGATTAGCATACAAATACATGTTGGTCCCGAAAATAGTATCCACTCTTTTCACGGCGAGACTATAATTTATGGACTAGCCAGTCAGAAGCGTTTGAGGGATTTCAAGGTCATAGCGCTAACTTCAGTACATAATGCTAATGTACGATAGGTTCACAAGGGATTTTATAAAAAACGCGCTAATTGAGCGGCTATAACAAATAAAAAGGCGAGACTATAATTTTTGGACGAACCAATCACGTATTAAATAACAGATCTCGGATTTTGGTGCGAAAGTCTTTCATCCATTTGGCTAAATAGAGTTTCGGCATTATAGCTGTTGTCAGTTCATGATGAAAACCCCATATATAATTCCGAACTAAGGCAAATTATGACAACATTGCGAACTGTATAATAAAAGCACCAGTAACTTTGGCTGCAGCTAGGTACTACAATATATACGGATGATTGGAGAGCGTACAGACTCCTACATAGGCTTGGTTGTGTGCATCGTGTCGTTATCCATAAGTGGAATTTTGCGGACCCAATAAACGGAGTGCACCGAAACAATATTGAAACTATGTGGTCGAACCTGAAGTATTTTTTGCGACCTTATCACGGCTCCAGAGGCCGACTGTTCTGTAGCCATATGAATGACTTCCTCTATTGTATACGTTACGATTTTAGAACCTCTGAACCTCTTTCTAACCTTGACAAGTCTTTGAACCATGTATAAGAGGTGTATCCACTTTATTTCTTTGGTTTTGTATAATATGTTTTTACTCTATACTGGCTGTTTGCTGATCGGCTAATATTTCTTGAGGTCACTTAAGATTCTTTCAAAGGTCGTCCATAAATTATAGTCTTGCTCTTTTCACAAGTAAAATATTACTCTGAATTGTTGATCTACTCATAAACATCTTACGTCATTTGGTATGTTAGTAATTCAGTAACTTTTGTCCGATTGGTGAAATGTGAAGCCTTCAGTTCACTACAGAGTAAATTACTTTTGTTATATACGTTGTTACATAAACTTACGAATTCGAGAGTATCACTAATAACAAAGCTAAATTTACTATTACACATATAACATCATAGTAGCTTTGTGAATACTCAAGGAAGGATTAATAACAAATTTACTATTCACAATATGCATCCAGTAAGCTGAAAATATGGGTTGGTAAGGTTGCTATAGCACAAAGCTATAATGTTATGCACAACACTAAAACCTGGAGAGAAGTATTTAAAATATAGATAAGTGTCGGCAGTAACGTAGTTACTCTCATTCAGTTATAAATAAATATAATAATGAACAACTCACAAGAAAGGAAAGCAATAAATCTGAAAAAACACTCCCTTATCAAGCAGGTTTTTGAAGGTGACCAAATGGTGAAGGTATTGATCATGGACAAAAAACGGAATCAAATTGAACGATTCCTAGCAAAAACTTGTTTACTGATAAACTATATGATCTCTAATAACATAAAGAATATAGATAAAAGCAGTCACTTGTCTTGTTCATTAACGTTTATCAATTACATGTGTGTTTAAAAGGCGTGGACATCCAAAAGCTGAGAAAATACGTATTGAACGACCATTTACGGAGAACCCTTATTTCAAATGAAAACGCAGTCCTCACGGTTCTATTTCACGCAACTAATTGGACACGAGACAAGCGAAAGATACATATTGCGTTCAAAATAGTCAATAAACACTACGACTAAGTACTAAGAGACCATGGTAATTAGGAGACTAAAATTTAAGTTGTATTTAAATAAGTTATAGAATAACGTCCAGTATTTTCTGCAACGAAACACAACAAAAGATCAATGTTAAAAACTTGGGCTCTCTTTTCTAATCAAATCGTGGTTACAATTACTTTAGTCTCAATGAAATTACGTCATACCATACTACAATGTCATCACCCAAATTATTCATAGAGCCTCAGAACTGCAACTTTGTCTTTTAAATAGTTTTACTATTCGCTGATGGCATCTCGGGCTAATTTATCATGATAATCTCTATGTAACTGAGGAGAAACCGACAAAATATAATGCATTCATCATATTCTTCAAACGTATTTATCCTGGGAGCAATTTTCATCACAACCTAACAGTTGAAGACTTTGGTGACTGCAAACCAGAAAGCACGACATTTTTAAACCTGAGTTCAAATTTTGTATTCTTTTCATGTAACGCGATTCTCATACAATAACATAGATGATGACTATCTCGACCTATTTTTTGAAATGGATTTTCTGAAATCTGAAAATTCTTTCTTGCTGCAGCTCTGATACTACAAAACAAAAGTCTTCACATATTTATGCCACTGGATACTGATTTGACTATATGGGTAGTTGAATTCAGTCAAAAAATTGACCTTTAGATTTAGACTCACTCATTGAATGTTATGCCGCGTGACTGAAACCGATTCTGTGTGAGGTCAAGAGTGCACTTTACTCCTGATTCCTTAAAATAATTATTGATCGCTTTTTGGTTTTTAATGATTCCTCTGATGATGATAGATAGGGATGACATTTATCTTCATAATTTTCTGCCGTTATTGTTCTCGTTGATGGTTACTTGAAATCCACTAAATTGACAATAATCATAGATATCTATGTTTTTATATCAAAACAATTAACATTTTTGACGTATATTCTACGTATGACTTCGTAGTCTTTATTGTTTACTTTGACAGCCCTTTCAAAAGCTCCCTTGAGTTTCTCAAATCACCAACCCATCAATCATTACCAAAAATTATTAATTATTCAACGTATACGTCCGTCATGTGGGAAAGTCTGATGAAGTTATTGAATCACTTGATAAATGAAGAACGTTTGTTTTGGCATAAAGAATTACTAAACAGAAATAAATCTAATAATTCAGAGGTTGAGACGATTGATATTAAATCTTTACTCAGTGATATTGATCGTTTTTATTCGGAAGAATTGCGCCTGCTATGGAAGCAGGTTTATGAAAGTTGGGTTCCGCGTGATTATCTACAATATTTTTCAGATGAAACAAGGTATTTGTTTACGTGTTCTACATCTTTATCACTAGTACATAATTGAAATAATCAATGTTTTATTTACCACTATATTTTGTATAAATACTGATTTTACAGAACAATCGTGGATGAACACTTAGACGTAGTCTTTTTGGATACTGAGGTATAGAATTTACGGTAAACGTTTAATGTGTACTCATACGTATTTTTCACATCAAATATTAAATCATAGCCGGGTTCTAGCAATATCTGTGAGGTGTTTTCCCTTCAGATACAACAAATAATTTCAGAGGTTAATAATTAGCACCGGATATTATAACGATGGTATTTTTTACTTCGAATACACTATGATTTTTTGAGATTTTATACATATTGTAAAAATCAGGAGTAATTTAAAAGGAGATATTTAAACGGCTTTGTTGTGGGACGCTTTTTCCTTCTCAAAACTCTAATGAAATACAAAGTATTATTTTGTTTGTAATTATTAACTCCTGTATACATGATTATTCATCGTGATATCAATTAACCAAGAGAGGAAGTAACACTGGTAGTCTAATTTCAGTAGAGATAATATTTATATTTTGCTCTGTCTAGTAATACTTCATGCCATAAAATTTCATTTTTAGAAAAGTGTTTATCAATTTAAATCTTGTAATTGAAAAATTGCTATCATTTATCGAGAAAGGAAACTGTGATACATCATCATCATCACATTCACACATAGGTAATCTGGAGAATTTTGACGGCTTTAAATGTTATTCAAAGAAGTGTTTCATTAACCAAGATAGTCGTGATAAGAAGCGTCGTTCAATGATTAACAGCAGATTATCTCATTCGTGTAGTTCACTAAATAAAATTCAAAACAATGGACAATTATTTAATGATCAACACTTGGAATACAATGAAAGTAAAATAAGTTTTAAACATATGAGAGAATTATTAAAACTCAGGTTAGTCATTTTTATTTTATCTCTTTTAAACATACTGAAAATGTAGTTGCATCACCGTAGATGTACTCTTGTTCAATAAAGGTGTTAAGAATTACGTTGGTATCTCTCAACAGCTTCGAAAAATTCATTTTAAAATTGATTAAAAGCCATACAACATTTGTAAACTATGCTTAGCTAACCTACTAAACGTAGCACTCGTATAAATGAAGTGTCCAATAATTTCAAAGAAAATGAACGATTACTTGTTTCCACAAATAGTATATGTTATGATTATAATTGTGATTGAATACTGCTGTTTAGAAATATGGTATTGACTTATTCGATAAATAAAGGGAAATGATTAATATAGTCAGTACGATGATTTCCAAATTTTAATCAAGCAAATTTCAAAAATCACTAGTCAATTAACTGAGTATGTGAATAATTTGGATGATTCAAGCTAACAATCATGTACAAAATATTTAAAGAAGTAACACCAACACAAGTTAATAAGCGTAAAAATGAAAATCACAAAACAATAATTGTTTAATTGTTTCAACTGTAACATATTTTAATAATAAATATTGTGTTCAATGTGCTTTTGGTTTCTGAAATTTCAAGGTGTGTTATAATATTTTGTACTAGAACTCTTGGTGACAATAAGAAATAATTACTTGTTGAATGTTTTCTTTGGGAACATACTCCAGATCTTTACTCACTGATTTGTGAGCACGAGAAAGATTTATCGAATAAGAGTTTAGACAAAGAGATGTAAGGGTTTCTGAATTTTTAGATAAAATAGATTTCCGGCTCTTTCATTGGTTTGTGTATGGGGTGGCATGAATAAATTTTAGTTAAAACTTATTATTTTTCAAGTTTCTAATATTTTATTGTATTGTAGTTTTCAAATAAATAAAATATCACATACTTTTATGTGTATAATGTAGCTCCCCCCTTATCCAATTATCAATATTTAATGACATTAAACAATGTATACTGATGAAATGTGAACCAACTAGTAATGCTACTAATTCTTCGACTTAAAGCCAAGTAAAATATATATGCATTAAATATCTTTCTTTGGTGTTCTTTTTAGTCATCAACAGCTTTTAGAACAGATTTATCATGTGACCGAGATGGTTGGTGCCGCACTTGACACGGACATGGAGGACGCTATCAATGGAGTACATATCTCTGCTGTCAACAATCACAAGAACATCAATGATAATCATTCTAACAATATTATGAGCAATAAGTTAACAACGAGTAGAATGCTTACAAATCCATCAACTCCAGGTCTACAAGTTGTTGCTAAACTACTCAGTGCTATACTTGATTTAGAAACACGATTAGACACAATATGTGAAAACCAAATTATAGCAGAGAATATAACAAACTCCGATATTACATTCGATTATGGTCAATGTGGTAAAAATTACTTGAAATATACTCCATGCTTATCTTCGGAAGAGACTACTTCATCGTCAGTGCAACAAGGACTAGGGTTTCAGGTAAAAGATCTGCAAAACCCTCAACGTATAAAAGTGATTGAAGATATTCTACAAAATAGAAGATATAAGAGAGAACATGTAAGATCTCCTTTAGTCAATGATCATGAAAACAATTTCAGAAAAGAAAAACAAACTGATTTAGATGAATTAGATATTTTAATGGAATGTAAAAGAAATTTCTAAAAGAAAACATCAGGTATAATTCCTTGCCGCTAACCAATCATTTTACACAGTTAGTGACATGTTTATGGACATCATAACATAGTTTTTCTATGGCAAAATTTATGATGTATAGTTTATTTGTATTATAAAGAAGAAATAGGACACTGCACTAACAATTTAGATCACTTTAGTTTAACTAATGTTTTGTTTTGTTCAACTACAATAGAGAAATTCTAGAAATTGTATTGTTGAATAAAAATAATTTCTGTGGAAGTTTACTTATTCTTTTTCTTTGTAAATTTCCTTTATTCAACCCTCATTTTTGTTCATTAAATACGTTCATTGATTGAAACGATCCAGTTTATTTTAGTTCTCTAAATTGACAACTTTTTTTTAAAAAAAAATAAAAATAAAAGAACAAAAAACAAAAAATAAAAATAAAAAATTGGATAGAAAAACGAATTAATTATATTCAATGAGAATGTTTCCTAATTGAAATCTTGATAATCCCCAATTCATCATTACAATTTATTTTTGTTTGAAAATAATGAATGAGTACTTCTGTTTATTGTTTTCGATTTATTAAGGTAAGCTAATTATTTTATTATGAAAGCTTATCTTTTATTGTTTGCTTCATATCATTCAATTAATGGTATTCATCTATTATGGCAATAATTATAATCGTATTAATAATAATAATAACAATATTTTGATAAATGAGATTTTTTGTGTTGTTATTAAAATGGATAGAAAAATCAAAATATCCATGAACAAAATGATAATCATGAACAGAAAATAAAATGCATGGAAAACTAGGAATGATTGTCAAGAAATCAGTTACTGTTTTACTAAATTTTGTGGAACTCCATACCGGAAAAAGAGAGATCACAATATTGAAAAATCTTATTTGATGAATAAATTTTTGTAACTGTCTCTTTTATTTTAACTAATTTGTAAAAATCACTCAGTGAATTAGAGACAAACACTATTAGTTCTAAAATGAAGTTATCATGGGAGGAAAACGTTTAATCAAATGTTATTTTCAACTTCATTATATTTGTAAGTATATGTCAGCTTGGTGAGCATTCAACAAACAACTTGTTAATACACTCTCAAAACAAATTAAGAATAATAAATCTTTATAAAATAATAGTAATATTCAAAGAAGATTTATTTGTCATTCAAAAACGTTTGTTCGAACAATTCAAAACAACTCGTGTTTATTAGATTAAGCTAATGATGGTGTTATTCTCTTGATCTCTATTAACCAAGTTAGGCGATTTGTAAAACTATTAAGTTTCAGAATATTGTGCTTGTTTAAAAAAAACTCATCAATGTTGGTTAGAAACTAAGGTTATATGCATACATTGTAACAATCTTCAAAATAGGAGCACTTTAGGCATTATTTGACTACTATCAGATGTTTTTTTACAATTTAGCAATGTCATTCTAGATGAACAAGTCAAGGATACGTATACATCATTAGATGAGTTAGTAAAATATTCCTAGAGTATACACATCATGATCATTAGATAACAAAATTGTTATGAAATTAGATTCGAAATAATTATGAGATAAAATGAAACCACCATAAAAAGTTATAATCACTCAATCAAAATTTACCTAAAAACTAACAATTAATATGACTTCATTAAATCCAATTTTTACACCAAGATAATAGTAAATGTAGAACAATTGCTTATTTAATGGTGCCAAAACATTCGGTTCAGGATTTCAGCCTAGTCGACCGACGAGGATAAGCAGAGATAAATGATGGCTAGCAGTAGGGTTCAAGACGCGCCTAAATTAACATAATGTTTGAATAAAGCCAGAACAATTGAGGTAGAATAATACGAATTCATTGTATTTCGTGGTTTCGCATCAGCTGTTTATAAGCAAATCTGTATTGAGCGAGTGATGCATTAATTAAATGAGGTCCAGAGATAGATAAGATAGATTGTGTGATTCCTGGAATTGAAAAACTAATAAGATGGGTTACTTAATAATTGAACAGGATTTAAAGGGTTTAGATAAGTCAAGAAAATTAAGTGAATAAAAACGTATGGGTGAAGAGATGGTTTTGATGTACATAAAATAAGAATCAGTTAAAGGAAGATCACATAACAAAATGAAAACTAATAAAATAGTGATAATAAGAAAAATAATTTACCAAGATAGTGATAAGTTTATTACCATCTGGATACATAGATCGGGTTTGAGTTTTTTGCGGTTGCTTCGCCAAACCGAAGAGACGCTGAGTTTTTCTGTTTCTTAATAATTTTAAAGGCTTGTGGAATGTCAATGACATGCCCGGTGTCAAGTAAACACCGAGCTATCGAATTGCTTAGAGCCATCGCGCCTCTCATTCTTAGGTTCTTTGTAACATTCTCAGAAGTGTGAACGTGTACTCTTCTATCTATTGTTCCAATATGTATGCTTCGACATGAACATGTAACTTAACTTTATAAATTGAAAAAGCCCTTAAATCAAAATATGTTGAAAGTTAGTTTTCTAAATCCCAAATGCTCTTTCTTAAAGAAAAAGAGGAGAAATCCATAATTATAGCTGTACTATACAATCGTTTTTGACCAAGATGCAGAAGAAAAGCCTCAAAATACATAGAAAAAAAGTATTTTAAATTACTATAAAGCATACTAGTTGTGTAAGTGTTGGTATTTGATAAAAAGTAATAAGAATTGGATCAATTTCCACCTTTAAATCACTACTATTTGAAGCAAAAGGGAATCACTTTATTTGTTCATATATTAAGAGAGTAAACCTTTTGTGAATGCATACGTTTCTGAAATGTCTACTTTGACAATGATGTAACGTGGAGAAACCGAGCTCAAAAATCCAATTACAACGCAAAACTAGATAATTAGTATAAGTTGGAACTTGTGCCGCACGGTTATCACAGAATCTTGATTTAGAGTTAGTTAGTTCCATCACTCAGACTGTTCCAATCTCATCAGTTTATTGAATAAAAATGTTCTACACGTTAAAATGGCATAATTTACCACAAGTCAGATTATTACGTTATTATTAAATGATGCAATGAATCGCTACTCATCATTGATAGTGAATAATAACTTGTTTATTTGCACACCGTTTGATGGAGTCGTTAATAAAATATTTGAAAACTAGTAGTGATAAGTCAAATAGTGTAATTAAAACTTGTTTTATAACTGGTTAAACAAGAATGATCAGCAACTTTGATACAAGTAAAGATGGCTTGAAATTATTCTTAAATAACGTATTATGATAACCTCATTCCGTTTTTTTGTGAGTGTTCTTTTGTAATTTATGTCTAAACCTAGTTTTCTATGCAATTACACAACACATTAAAACATTTCTATTTAACTAATAATCAACCTTCATTCTCATAAATCATACTATTCACTAGCCATTAAGTGAATATCCATAGTTCACTACTAATTGTTCTTCATAAAATACTAAAAGAAAGCTTTATCTTAAGAATTTTATTTTAAAATTACCTTCTTACTGTATATGAATAAGAAACAGAAATTATTAAGTCACATTTAAATTAACAACATAAAAAATGAATAGTTAATTGGGTTAATGGCGTAAATTGTTTGAATGTTTATGTCACAGTTTTACTATTCTATATATATAAAGTTTTTTTTAAATTAAAGTAAGAAAAGTGAACTCTGTAAGTCACATTTTTATTTGTAAAGTTAGAGCAGATGATTGAGGGGGGGGAGAGGGTAGAAACATTGGAAACCTCAAGTAAGTTTTGCGATTAGATAAATAATTAAGAAAACGCTTTAAATAAAATCGTATTGACTTGACTAATGTCAACACGACCAGTATGGTAGTATTTTAGATTCTGGCTTTTTGACCGCTATTTAACTTGTCAATTCACGCCATGAAATGATAATTGTATGGTAAAATCATTTATGTGAAATAAATCTATCGCATTTTCAGATAAAAATATTGTTATTTCAAAGGTAGAAACATATTTTCCATTACTATACCATCTATAACTTCAAAACTTACCCTGTATTTTATTAACGCTTACTTAAGCTGCCTACCGATATTGTGTTGTAGTTCATAATTAAAACTATGTAGTTAAGTTTGTATTGCATTATAAGTCCATGCATAAGCAGTGTCACATTCCTACACAAACCCTTAGTCGTTTCATGGCTACGTATATCGTTTTAGACATTACACTATTGATACAAACTGTGGTTTAATCCGAACTTGATAATATATCCATTCTCAAAATCGTTTTTACATCAATACGGTGATAATAAAAGTTCTAATCCTTAAATCATTTGGGGTGGAAACAGATTTTGGTTTGTTGTAGCCTACGAATCCACTTCCTCTATTTGTATTCTGTAGTTTTATGAAAATGACACTGACGATTTTCTAAGTATAAGAGTTCTTTACTGCTGACTAAGATAATGAAATAAAATATTGTTTGCTTACATTACATAAAACTTAAAATAGAATTATCGACAGTGTGATACGGATCTGTGGTGGCTGGTACTATGTCAAGCCCACATAGGTTATTCTAGCTTCTTGATAGACCAATTTACTCCTTCTGCTCAAGCTTGTTAATTATTTTCTTATTAACCCTGTCTGTTTTTATATGTGAACGTATGCGTGTTAATTGCTTACCCTATTCATCATATGTCTGTAATTTATTTTGTCTAAGTATAAATATTGAGTCACGCTCGATCAAAAAGGAGTTAACTGACGCGCCTTTACCATTACGCGTCGTTTCATTTCGGTTCGCTCTTCCGCCTTTGCTTACTTCGCTTCGTTTCCCTCATTGTCTGACCATATCAACTAATGTACGAAATATACGTGTTCAAACGAGGATTGACGGCATATGTATTTCGATAACAATCTCCATACGATTAAACTGGGTTCAGAGACAGAACCAAAAAAGATCAAACCTAAAAGTTAAAACATTATTATATCGCTTTTAGACACACGTATTGTTTTATTCCCAGTGGTATTACATCTAAAATGGAACAAAGAGCAAAGTTTTGGAC